TGATTAGTACTAATTTTTTTAGATGATATAAAAGAAAATACCAAATAAACATAAAAATGGTCAAAAGGTTTTTTTTTTTTGTTTTTAAAGCTGCAGGTCAATTTTTGCTTTCCACCCAAAATGAACATATTGGGATGGTAACTCCATTAAATATTCCAATTTGCCCATGTGCTGTTCCCCATACAGTCTTCTTAGTAATGTTACGGTAGTAGCCAGCTGTGTTCATGGCAGCTTATGTAAGGTCCACTGGTCCTCTGAATACATGTGGGGAGGCATGACTGTCATTCTCTGACTGCCCACATCTCAACACATTCAGCTACCATGGAAACTACAAAGCAAGGAAAAAATATACTTATCCCAAGATTCATTTACTGGGATTTTAGAGCGCCCTTTCTTCCTCTGAGCCCCTGAGTGGTGATGCTGTGCTAGGGGCTGCTGTGTTTTCCAGCATGAGCTCCCATTCTCTGAGGGTCCTGAGAAGGATAGTGGATTGGTCCTGGAGCCCTCATGAAAGGAGGGGGTGGTCCCATTGGGTGGAACATGTGTGGTCCAAAACCTGCACAGAGAAGAGAACTTATTAGGCTTGCAGTTCCCTTGACAACCTTCCAAACCTCTGAATCTCTGTAAGATCAAAACCACCTACACATAAATCAAGGCTGACATGGTGCTAAGCAAATACCAGTGCACAAGATCTACCTACATTCCCTGCTTTTAGAAATCTTTCCCTAGTCCAAAAAATTCCACAAGACTCAGTATCTGCTAGTGTGTCACCCGAGCCTCTGCAACAGACCAAACTAGGCAAACTCTCCCAGATAGGAGTCAATCAGGATGTGGGTGATTAGGAAGAAACAGGGCCCATGACAAGATCCTTGCTGTCATCACTAGCCTCAAAACTTGATTCCAGAACGGAGGGACATTTTTCAAAGGTACAGGCTCTCCATCATAGGAAAATGGCCAGCTGCCATTTCCTTACGCTGTGCACACTATCACAGGCACTCTCTTGCGTAGTGCTACACAAATTGGTATTGCTTGAACTGTTTGTGGCCACTGACAAGATAACAAGCACGAGACAGAATATAACTTGACTTCATGCCCAAGTGCATGTTATTCACGTGACAGCTTCATTACAGCAATTTTCTTTTTTTGGTTTGTTTTTGGGTTTATTATCATCATTTATTTTATGTGTATGGAAGTTTTGCCTGCATGCATATATGCAAGTGCACTCATGTCGTTGTGTTGTGCCTGGGGAGATCAGAAGAAAGTACTGGATCCCCTGGAACTGGAGTTAATGGATGGTTGTTAGCCACCATATGGGTGCTGGGAATCGAACCTGGGTCCTCTACAAGAGTAGCCAGTGCTCTTAAGTGCTGAGCTATCTCTCCAGCCCCTTGTTTTTTTTGAGACAGGGTCTCCCTGTAGCCCCAACTGGCCTGGAACTCACTATGTAGAAAAGGCGCCTTGCTCTCAGATTCTCAGAGACTGGGATTAAAGGATTAAAGGCACGTCCCACCAAGCCTGGCAGTAAGTTTTTCTAACTAAGGAAGTAGTTCACAGACTTAAATCCTGATACACGGTCCATATCTTGTTGTGAAAAGGTAATAAATACTTCATGAAACAACTCTCGCTCACAGACTACACTTTGAGCAATAGTGCTTTAGGGCTCCCTTTAGAACAAGGAACAGACTGGTGGTGGCAGATCGCTGTAATCCAGTAACTCCTACCACATGATAGCTATATTCACACTTAGAAAGTAGTGCCTTTCCTCTCCTTGGCAGCCAGGAGAAAAGAGAAGTGTCAGGAATCTAGACTTACCAGCTTTACCTGTGAACTTCTACAGGGCAAATGCAAAGGACCTGGCTATCTCACCCTAATGAGGTACAGGACTTTCACAAGGATTTTTCTGGGTCAGGAAGGAAGAAGGCAGTTACCTGGGGGTGGGGGAGGGGCAATCCCAGGGGGTGGGGGCAGAGCAATGTTCACTACAGCTGGAGGACCACTTGGGGGCAGGTTGAAGTAGTTGGCAGAGGCTTCTTCCTCTGCTGCAGGAGGAGGAGGAAGAGCTGGAGAGAAAAGAGCAGACACTTAAGAGAGGAGGACAATCAGCAATACCATTTCCACCTCAGTTCTATCTTCCAGGGCCTGGTAAAGCTGCTGTAGAGCCGCACAGAGCCAGGCCCGAGTTTCTTCTAATAGAGGAACCCCAGCTGACTGAGCTACTGACATCAGCTGGAGGTCTGTACTTACCTCCGGGCAGTCCTGGTACAGGTTCTAGCTTGATCCCAGAGTCTGTGGTTCCATCTTTCTCTTTTTCTTTTCCTCTGGCTGCTTGAGATCTAGAGATGCACACAAACAGCAGCCTGTCCAACCTTCTCTTATAACCCCACTTAATCCATTTTCATTCCTTCCCTCTCCATGTTTTTTTTTGTCTTTTTGAGACAGGGTCTCCCTGTAGTCCCAGCTGACCTGAACTCACTATGTAGACCAGGGTGGCCTTGAACTCACAGAGATCCGCCTGCCTCTGCTGGGACGAAAGGCGTGTGCCACCACCCCCGGCTAGGAGAAGTTTTTACAGGCAGAAGGGTCTGGATTCAGAACTATTGTCATTACTAGAAAAGGTACCATTCCTGTATGCAGCACTGGGCTTAGCAGGTAGGAAGCACTTCATAAAGGGAGCTGCTATTAGCCTGCTCCTCCCTGCTTCCAAGCTGGAAACATACTTCCACTCCGAACGTGAAATTTAGGGCATTTTCTCTCTTACGTAATCATCAACTTCAAACTTAGAACAGATATTCTGTTTTACCTCCCCCAGAGCCCCACAACATTTAAGTCTTTGAAGATAGAATCTAGGACTAATGTCAATTGTAAACCCCCCAAATCCACCTTTAATTCCCTGGCATTACGCATGGCCTTTAATAGTAGTAAAGACCCAAGAATGTTCAAAGCAGCAGGTTACTAGAGCAAGACCTTGATACACTTTCTACAGCAGGATGCTTCCAACATCCACTGGAATCAATTATTAGATTTTCAAAGATCCTGTTAAGCTCATTTACCCAAAGCTTTCAGGTCTCCAGAAAATGAAATTTTTCTTGAAAAACACAAGAAAAATATTTTAAGACAGGGGCTGGAGAGATTGCTCAGTGGTTAAGAGTACTTGCTGTTCTTTCACAGGACCCTGATTTGGTTCTCAGCACCCATGTGGTTGCTAACAACCATCTGTAACTCTAGTTCTAGGGGATTGGATGCCCTCTCTTGGCCTCTGAGGGCAATGCACACACATGGTGCACTTATATACATGCAGGCAAAACATTCATGCACATAAAATACAAAATAAATAAATAAAAAGAATAGCGTTGTTCTTACCTTCCCCATTTCACATTGAGTCTGCGGCCATTGACAATCAGCTTATTAAAGGACTTCTCAGCAGCCACCTCTGCAGCCTGCCTTGTGGCAAATTGGATGAAAGCACACTGCTGCCTCTGAACAACAGTGATTGTGCGGATCTCCCCAAACTGGTAGAAGTGATTTCTGAAGGAGCACAGGCAGAGGAAAAGGGTTAGCAAGCCAACATGCCCAGGAGATTAGAAATGCACTACGAACCTGCTATGAGTCCCACTAGGTGGGTGGGCTCATGGACAAATGCCTGTCTACAAGTTTTCCTTATACCTTACCCCACCATAAGTGCTGCTCATTGAAAGATAAAAGGAAAAATTGTAAGAGTTCTCATACATCTCAGAATTGGAGGAAGGGGGGCTCTACTAATCAGTTCCTAAGGGTCCTAAGTTGTCACCCCTAGATAAAGTACTGGAAACTACAGGTCTTATGGTCCATGAGCCAAGACTTTTGAGACTGGGTTCTTGCTATTTTATTCAGGCTAATCTTGAACTCCTGGGCTCAAGTGATCTTTCTGCCTCAACCTCCTTAGTAGCTGAGGCTGCAACCACATACCACTAGGCCCAGCTATGAGCCAAACATGTATGAAAACATGTTTAAGGATTAGGAGGTGTGGTTCAGTGGTAGAGCAGTTGCCTAGTACATGTGAGGCCCTGGGTTCACTGTCTAGCACTGGAAAAATAAATATTAAATAGATAAATGAAACAAAAAATGTTTAAAGCTACAAGAAGACAACATAGAAGAGGAGAAGGGAAGTCAGGTGTGGATGGCCCATGCCTGTGATCCTAGTAATTGGGAGAAAGGAAGGAAGATCTTGAGTTCCAGGCCAGCCTGAGCTACATGACAAGACCTTGTCTCAAAAAGCCAAACAAACCGGACAAGATATGGTGCCACATGCCTGTAATCAGAGACAGGTGGATCATGGTGAGTTAGAGGCCAGTCTGGTCTAGCCAAGTTTCAGGTCAGCAAGTGCTACACAGTGAGACTCTGCTCAAAACAAACAAAACAAAAAACCACCACCACCAAAACAAAACAAACCAGGCCTAGTAGTATAGGCCTGTAATCCCAGCACCTGGGAGGTAGAGGCAAGTAGATTAAGAATGCAAGGTCATCCTTGGCAAGCTCTCAGGCCAGCCTAGCTATATGAGATCCTGCATCAAAAAACCAAACAAATAAAAAACAGAAAAAATAGGAAGCAGGGTGACACACGCCTTTAATCCCAGCACTCGGGAGGCAGAGGCAGGCAGATCCAGGCCAGCTGGGGCTACAGAGAGACCCTGTCTCAAAAAAAAAGAAAGAAAAAGGAAAGGGATCACATATACTCTACAGAACTTAAAATATTCACTCTCTAGCCTTTTATAAAATGTGGGCTGGCCCTTGGGTATCACTAGCTGTTAGACAGAGTTCAATGCAAACAGGTACCAAGATCAGGAGTTTCTTCTCTATTTTATTTCTCTGGAAGAGCCAATTCCCATTACTATCTGCCCAGATATCTCATCTAGTCAAGCACAACATGAAGTCCAAAATAATACAAGTCAAATACAAGTCTCTTCTAAAAGGCATCAATTTCAAACATAAGAATTTCAGAATCACAAGGCTCTCTACCCTACATAATTAATCATACTTGAATGTGCACCATCCTTTAAATGTTCACATTGGCCATTAAGTCCCATGTATTATCACCCAATGCAAAGATGGAGAAGCACTCTTGAATAAAACTATTCTGGCGCTATAAACTGTAATTCATAAAAATTTGAATATGATATTATAGAGTGGCTAAAGAAAAATGTACTTTATTTACAATGATCATGTTTGCTTATGTTTTTGCGAATTAATTATTCCAAGGTAAAAGCAAAAAGGGTTCTGAAGTTATGCCCACAAACCTGAGATCTGTCTCTGTGATGGTATCACCCAGACCACCCACATACAGCGTGGTGATCGTCTTGTCCTCTGGAGGATCCAGACGAGGCATGGTGGAAGCCCGCTTCAGAAGCTTATCTGCTACAGGGTCATTGATTCCATAGTACCGGTCTTTTATATTCTGATCAGCAAGGGGGTCATCTGGATCTGTGGGCTTCTCATGTCTATGAATTACAAAAGAATAATGCATAAAGGTAAAACAAAGGGAAAAAGTGTACCACTCTACGATAGCTACATGTTAAGTCCCTCAAATGCCTTTCAAACTTGAAACCATGTTCATACCAAAATACCATTATCAAACAGAGCAAATACCAGGGGATCACTGTACCACACAGAGACTTCTCTAGTCTTCTAAATAGTCCACTTAAAAATGCTATTTAATATACAAGAAAATCTGATTAAAGCTATGGACTTCACTCCAGAAAGGGGGCATATATTTGGGGGAAGGGCTACAGATAACAAATCCCAAGTTAAGAATACTTAATTCAGATGCTTGGCATTCTTGATTGAAACATAAGTAGCTTTACAAGTCTGGTCTTGTTTTGACTTCAACTATACGTTGATAGTCAGTCACTTATATGACAACATTAAATTATCCTTAACAGAAACCTCAAGGTCAGCACCTCCACTGAGAGGTTTAGCAATTTAGTTTCCTAAAAAGTACAAAGTATAATTTAATCAGGTTCTTCTAATCTTAGTAGCTCTATCACATGAGATACTCTGCATTAGTTGTATGGGCTTGAGACTTTAAAGCACAAATGTTTTCAGCATCTCCCACTAACTGTCTGAAAGCAAGTGCAGAAAGTAAGGCTCAGCTCTTGCCTGTACGGACACTCCTCTCCTCTCTTACACTCTCCTTTCACCCAGAAGGAGCAAATGTGGGGCCGATTCCTTTTGTAGTAAGGTGTGGTCCGGGCCAGTTTGAGCAACATGTCACTGGTGGATGTAGCTTTCCCCAGCATGCCAACTGGTCGTGTTCCATCAGAGTTAGAAATCTGCATGGGAATGATAAATTTATAGACTGTCAATTCATTAAGACTTTATCAAATACAAAACTCCATCCACCACAAAGACCTGGGCTTAATTCCCAGCATCACACACATAACCTGTCATCCCAAACAAACAATGACATCAAGAAAGTGACAGTGGGACTGATGAGATGGCTCAGCAGTTAAGAGCATTTGCTACTTTTGCAGAGGAAGAGTTCAGTTCCTAGCACCAAGATCAGGTAGCTCACAACCCCCTTTAACTTCAGTTCCAAGGGTCTGACACTGTTTTCTGATGTCTTCTAGCACCAGGCATAAACCTGGTATAAAGACATAGACTCAGGTCCACACACATTAAGATAATAAAATAAATCATCAAAGAAGGAAGTGGCAGCATACTTCTCTCTCCATATTCTGCGTGTAGTACTCTTTGTTGACATCAGATTTTGGCATGTCATCTTTAAATGACAATCCTGCATCACGAACCTGGATGGGCAGGCCTGGTATAAAGGAATTCAGGACAAAACATCAGTTGTATTTTAAATTTAAATGCACAAAGAATCCAACATCACCCTTCCCGTCTCTTCCTACTTGGTGCTAGACATTTTACTGCATTTTTATTTGAACCGTTTTGCACCATCAGGCTATACAGCATCCTAAGAAACTGTCCCAATTCCTGTGCTGCCATGACATTTGGTTAAGTGAATGTTTCCAAAAACTTCTAAAAAAGAATAAACTTAGGCCATGGCTAGACAAATTAATCATGTATTTAGTTTCAATACAATTTATTTACAATGGTTTATTTTCAGATTGGTCTTAAAGATTCTATGAACAGTCACAGTTATGCTAAGGGTCATTTATTCCAGGCCAGAATTCTATTTTGTAAAAACAAATATATAAACAATATTAAATAACATGTGGCAAAAAGTGACTAGTATTAATTGTTTTTGGTTTTTGAGACAGGGTCTTCCTGTAGTCTCAGCCTTCCTGGAACTATGTACACCAGGCTGGCCTAGATCTCACAAAAATCTGCCTGCCTCAGCCTCCTGAGTGCTGGTATTAAAGGTATGTGCCATCATACTCAGCTTTAGAGTAACTTTTTTGAACTTAACATGCATATGCTAGTTTGTGTGTGTGTACAAGCATATGTACACTTATATATTAGAAATTCTTTTTGGGGGGTCTTTTTGAGACAGGATCTTCCTTGTAGCCTCAGCTGGCCTAGAACTCACTATGTAGACCAGGCTGGCCTTGAATTCACAGAGATCCACCTGCCTCTGCCTCCCGAGTGCTGAGATTAAAGGCGTGTGCCACTACACCTGACTCTATATTAGAATGTTGGTAAGTTGTATTTTTCAAAAGGAAGTCACCTATAAGCAGCAGCTGTTCTGAGACAGTGGTGATGCTTAGTCCTAAGACTAGAGCTGAGACAAAAGTCTAAAACAGAATTAGTCCAGGAGCTCTGGTTGGGATTGTGAAAAAGCTTTGGATCAAGAAAAAACTCCAGCAAAGAAATGACCTAGCAGAGGGTTGGTGCTTTTTACCTCAACTGGGCTACAGAAATAGAGGTGTAGACCAGTTCTGACTTTTTCCCAATTGCTTCTTCAGTTCCTACTACTGCTCAGGAGCAGCCTACTTATGATTTTCTTCCTGGGAAAAGTGGATCAAAGTAGACATTCTTAAGCGGCATCAGCAGCAGAGACAGGAAAGAAGTGGGAGAGAATAGACTGGTTTGTTGTTCAGGGTACTCATACACTTTCACATCTAGTAGACATGGCAAACATACCATACTCTAGGTCTAACAGGCAGGTCTGACAAACATTCTTCAATTTACTGCAGGTTTGACACACTTCAGTCTTCTTGAAGCGCATTCGGACCCCAGGGCACCAGCGAAACACTGTGAACGGCCTGGCACAGATCTGAACACAAAGTAAGAGCCAGAGTGTTAACAGTCCTGACCTATACTCGATCCAAGTCAGACTGAATAAAATATGAGGAAGCTGAAGAAAGAATCCCTTAGTCTAGGATTTGGAAGGGACCTTACCAATCACCTAGTCCATATGCCATCTGACTCTCAATCCAATTTACTTTCTTTCCTACTAGTTAAAAAAATAACTTGCATAGTACAGAAATAAAATATTCAGAAAGTCAAAGGCCTCAAAGTAAACAACACCACCCTACAAGTAAACAACATTAATAATCTGATCCTTTTATCTTTTTGTTGGGGAAGGGAGAAAGGGAAGCAGGGAATACTGTGTAGTTCTTTAGAATATTGTGACAGCTATGACCCTCCTCCTCAGCTGAAATGTCACAGTCACCTAACAGTACACAAACAGGGTGTTCAATGCCGTTTCACAGACACCTGTTTATGTATCTTTACCTTAAAAGGGTCCTTTTCTATCTCCCATGCTAGTTACCAGTCAGTGAATACATCAATGATATATAAAAGCTGTGCAGCACTACCTTTTATTGAAGGACCTCAAAAACTCAGTAAGCTGAAAGCCAATTTGGGAGGAAAAAGAAAAAGGGAAAAAAAGGGGATAAAGGAAAAGAAATAATTATCTCTTAATAGACATACTTACTTTGCATTCTTTTCCATACTTTTCTTTGGTCTAAAATAGAAAAGAACTGGAGTTACAGGAGAAAAAAACTCATATCTATTCCCTGCATTTTGAGATCCCTGACACTGTAAAGAATCAAGCTAAAACCTACATTATCGTTCTTCTAGGGGTGCTATAAGGAACACTGTGATGGTTAGATTTAATTGTCAACTTGTTACATGTGGAACCTAGATTTAGAAAAATATATATGTGTGTTTGTAACTCATGAAACTAGAAAGGGGATGAGTGGGAAGGAAGAGATCTTAAAGGAGGGGGAAAGGAGAAGGTAATAAAATTCATGTGAAAGCAGAAAGATGGACTAACTGGGTGAAGAGAACTAGCCAGAAGGGAGCACTGAGCAGGAAGGGCAGTAGAGGAGGGAGCAATTGAAAACAAAGTAGAAACATGTATGAGAATGCCAAAAAGAAATCCCTTACTTTGTATGCTAACCTCCCCGACCCCCCAAAAAAAGTAACAATAATGATGAAAGAAGATTTATAAAAGAAATCTGTCCTAGGTGGTGACAGAGCTATTTCAAGACCTACTCTGTTTTCCAGGCAAAAACTTCCAATTTCCACACTTTTCCTTTTGACTACTCTTTGAGGGAATCTGGTTTAAATTTCAATGCAACCACCTGGTTCACTGACATCATAGCCGGCTGGGGTTAGCTACCAAGTCGATGACTGAGATTCAGAAAACCAAGACAGGAGACGGCAGTACCTGAGGCTGGAAAGGGCTTCCAAAACGTCTACCATGGATATTCAGTTAGTGCCTTTGTCACTAGAGCTCTCTAGGTCACCGAGTTGTAGGAGGATGGGGAAGAAATGAAATCTATGTGGTTTGGGAATTTTTTTTTTTTTAATCTCAGTCAATTATGACTATCGATGAAAAAAATTAATGTAAGAACTATGATTTACCATTAAAATGTGGGCATGCGGGGCTAGACAGATGGCTCAGTGGTTAAGAGCACTGGGTGCAGAGATCCCAATACCCAAACGATGGCTAATAATTGTAACTCCAGTTCCAGGGGATCTTACACTCTCTTCTGACCTCTGCAGATACTGCACAAGGGTGCACTTACATACATTCATACATTCAGGTAAAACACTCATACACATAAAAATAAATTTTTAAAAAGCAGGCATGTGATTTGATCACTGGTAATATATCAGATACATACTTTTACATGTTCCCTACATGATGTTAACTCTGAAAGGATGACTATTAAATTCTTTTGATGTGAAAAATGAAATTCCTAATGGTTTCCACAGTTCCCTAATCAGGGAAGATGAAGCCATGGCCAGTTCCTTTTTACAAAGTTGCTCAGAAGGTACTTGCTCTAGACTCAGTCTGTACTGATGCCTTGTATATATCAAACATTCTGTTCTCATAAACCATTCAAGCACAATGAACATATCAACATATCGGCATTTCTGAGGCTGATTAAACCAGTCAACCCTGAGTTAATCATTCTGGACTGCTGCTATTTTACTCTTATTTTTAAGGATAGAAGGTATCTTAAAGAGACTTCAAGGTGTAGTGTCTGAAAGGCACACAACTGAGCCCAGAACTAGTGCCATATGAAAAGATATAAACTCCTTTTGTCAACAGCCCTACTTTCTGGGTAAATGTCCAACAAGTATTAGATGTTACATTATGGCTCCTATATTACAGGATTATTGTTGAGTTTCTAAGTGAAGAAGAAAGCATGGCAGTACTTGGAATGCTGTCCTGTGCTTTGGGTTAGGAAATGAGCATCATTTCTTCTGACGGCTAAGAGGACAGTATCGACAGGTCCTGAAAAATAACGCCCCTCTTCTGGGGTAAGCACTTACCATTCGTATATAAGGGTTTTCTCCAAGACACGTCTGGCAGAGAATAGGGAAGTCCTGGAGAAAACGAGAAATCTGGATGAAAAACAAGCCCCAAAGACCAGAACCCCAGCCTCTCTCCAGGACGGAGAGGGGTGCGGGAGCAAGGGCAGCAGGAACCCAGGTCCTGCAAGGGCCAGGGGGCGGAGGGGGCGCTGTCTGCACTTCCGGCAGGTGACGGGAGGAAAAAAGAGCAAGCACTGGAAAAGGGTGGAAGGGGCCGGGAAGGGAAGGGGCTGGTTCCGGAACCCTGGCTATGCCTCAGGAGAGCTGCTCCGGCCGGCGGGGGCAGCCGAGCTAGGCCGCAGCGCGGTCTCCTGCCCGCATCGGGCCTGGGCCGCCCGCACGGGTCCCGCCTCGCCGCTGCTCGCGGCTCCTTCGGCGCGCACTCACCGCGTCCTCCCAGTTCTGCCTGTTGTAGGTGTTGGAACCCAGTGAGGTCGCCATGTCGAGAGTCCCGAGGCAGGCCGACTTCCGATTCGGCGAACTGGACCGCCACAATCCCGTCAGGCCCCGAGGCTGGCGCCCCTCTACGTCTAATTCCTCCGCCGAGCGCCGCTCAGGGGGCGGGGCCTCGCGGCTGGCGCCGCCCGCCTTGGGTTGCAGAGGTTAACTGCTGGAGCTCGGGTGTCCTGTCCTCCCCGCAGGCCCCCTTCCAGTCGATGTCTACCTGAGACAAAGCCTCGGGAAGGACGGTTTACATACAAGCCGGCCGGAAGAATAACGGATAAGTAACGAACGACTGGCGGAGACTGGGGTCCAAACACTGTCAGCTACACCACCTCTGGCTGACGTCTGGCCTTCCTGTGTCTCCAGCTCACTGTAACCCCTCTGCAGGGCTGCCAGATTTGGCTAAGTTGAACTGCAGGTAGATAACGAACCACTTCAGTATAAATATGTTTAGAGCATTCTTTATACGAGAAGGCGATTCATTTTCTGAAGTTTACATTTAGCTAGCAGGTATCCTGTATCTTGCTACCCCACAATTTGGGCAAGTATGTTAATCCCTCTTTTACAGAAGAGGAAATTGAGGATTAGAAAGAGTAACTTGATCTGGATTGTGGAGCTGAAAAATTGTGAAGCCAGAAATCCAGCTTCTGACATGAAAAGGATCATGTAGGTGGGGCGTGGTGGCGCTCGCTTTTAATCCCAGGCGGATTTCTGTGAGTTCAAAGCCAGCCTGATCTACACAGTTGTAGATCAATTCATAGCTTTTGCATTTTTAGAACAACTCCTAATCATTCTACCAATATTTTAAAATTTATTAATTTTAAAATTTTGTGTATGAGTGTTTTGCCTGCATGTAAACGCACCACATATGCACAATGCTCCTGGAGGCCAGAAGAGAGCATCTGATCCCCTAGAACTGTGGTTAGTGGCCATGTGAGTGCTGGAAACTTAATCTGGGTCTTCACAAGAACAACTAGTACTCTTAACGCCTGAGCTGTCTCTCCAGCCATCGTTCTACCAATATTTATAAACTTTATTCTAATACCACTTATTTTCTTTGTGTGTGGGTGCACAGAACTGGGAATTGAACTCAGGGATTCCCCACATACTAGGCAAGTACCCAAACACTAAGCCTTTTTTTTTTTGGTCTTTTTGAGACAGGGTCTCCCTGTAGCCTCAGCTGTCCTGGAACTCACTACGTAGACCAGGCTGGCCTTGAACTCAGAGATCCACCTCTCTCTGCCTCCCGCGTGCTGGGATTAAAGGCGTGCGCCACCACGCCTGGCTTACACTGAGCCCTTTTTATATTTTATATTTCTCTTTATCTTGAGGCAGGGTCTCACTAAGTTGCCCACTGGTCTTGAACTGTAGCCCAGGCAGGCCCTGAATATGCAATCTTTCTGCCTTAGCCTCTCAAGTAGCTGGGATTACAGTTCTGTGCCACCAGGCTGAGCAATATTTGACCTAACCTGTCATCAAATTGCCTAATAGGTTTAAGTTACTTAAATATATGTATAAACAGTAAAGATTTTCTTGTATCATTGTGAGTTCTTTACATTCACCACAAATATAGAATAAGTCCATCATCCCAAATTTTGTTGTGCTTGTAGGCAATGCACTTATCCACATTCAGCCTACAGCATGACTGATTTATATCGTTCCTATACAGATGCTCCTGGACTTAAGATGGGGTTACACCCTGATGAGCCCCATTGTGTGGTGTTTGAACAGCCTAGTGAACTGAGCTGGGTCTGGATTTTGCTGCTGAGATGGTCTCTTCTGTGCATTGTGGATTTCCCATCCTCTAACATTGTTTTGTGCTTTAGGTTTCTCAAATGTTCATGCTTCATCCTTAAGCATATAGTTGTCCTGCACATCTGCACAGTAGAGATTTTTTTTTGTGCCTTTGTCCAGCCTCCAGTAATGCTTTTTGCTAGCTGCCTGCTAGGCTGGTAGTGCAGGGATGAAGGAGTTCTCAGTCTCTGTTGAGATTGTTTCACTTTAGTGTTTGTTTGGCAGGCTTAGCGTGCCTGGTCTTAAGAATGGTTCCTCTCTCAGCATTCTTTCCTCTTTTTCTCAATTAAATTTTCAGTTCAGTGAACAGTTTCTGAGTATATACTGTTCATCCCACTGTTCTCACCCCCTATAAGTTAAAAAGATAACAAAAACTTTATTTTGTACTATCAAATGAGATAGACATTTCTCCCTTGTGAAAAAATACATATTAAAAATATCAAAGTATTCAGTCCAAGGCTAGTAAAGATGCAAGACACAGTTCCTTCAGGGGTCAGGACATCTATACTTAGCTTCCACCTTGGTACAATCTGGCACCAGGCTACATTTTCTTATTTTAACTTATTCATTTTGAACCTGTATTGTCTCCTTTCCTATAGCAGCTAAACTTTTGACAGGAGAAAGTTTCTGTCTTTTCCTACAGTGGTAGACAGAGGGTATTAGAGTTGTCTCAGAACTGAATCTTATCTTTCCCAGGGCCAAGACAAGACTGCCTCAGCAGCAATAGGCCTTTATCTAGGGGACAAAATTTTCTGTTCTTTTCTTGGCGGCTCAAGCCTTTTTTCCCTTATGACAAGGCAAGGTTTTATGCCTCTCCCACAGCATGCCTGCTGCATTCCCCCAAACCAACCAGCCTGGAGGTTTTAGAGTGAGGTTGTGAGTGCACTTAAGCTAGCTCCCTTCAGTCTTGGGCTTCTAAGATTTCATACTATCATGTTAGCTCTTATTTGGCCATTACCAATTCTTTAGTTTCAGCTGAATTCCTCTTACCTACTTAGATAATGAGCAACACTCCTTCCTATATCTGCTACAGGTGAAACACTCTGCATGTCCTGTCTCAGAGGAATATGGCCTTTCTCAGAATTCAGACTGTCCAGTTGCCCATTTACATCAGCTCTCTGATCCAAGGACATAGGCTTCTGTCATCTGTTGTTCTGAGTAGGGTGACACTTTTGGTTTTTTTTTGTTTTTTTTTTGGTCTTTTGAGACAGGGTCTCCCTGTAGCCCCAGCTGGCTCAGAACTCACTGTGTAGACCAGGCTGGCCTTGAACTCACAGCGATCTGCCTGCCTCTTCCTCTCGAGAGGGATTAAAGGCGTGCACCACCACACACGGCAAGGGTAACACTCTTTACTCCATACCTACATCATAGTAAAAGCTTCTGTAGTCAGCTTTTTAAAAAAAGTATGTGTGTACTGCCACAAATGCTGTAGGAGGGCAACAGACCCAAAGCTGCCATGTAGGTGCTGGGAGTTGAACCCTGGTCCTCTGGAAGAACAGCAAGTGATCTTAACCTGTAAATCGTCTCTCCAGCCCCAAGTCAAGCCATTTTAATTAAATCTAAGAAATATTACTATTACTTTTGCAAATGGAAAATTAATATCACATGCTTATATGTAGCCTTAAAAAGGCACGTAAGGCAGAAATAATGTAAGCTTCAGGAGGAAAGGAAGTGTAGAATGCTGACTTTCAAGCATGACATGGCTGCTGCACTCTTGGACTCTGGGTTTACTGAAAATATCTTTCATGGTACATGGCTGAATTGAGCTTCAGCAAGCAACTTCGGTCTGAGTTTTGGAGTTTGCTCTAGGCTACTCTTTGAGTGTGGTGTAGGAGAAACAGATGACCAACAGGCCTGGAATCTGCAGTCCATTAAAGGAGCTATGTACAATCAAATGATGGAAAGGTGTAGTATTGTGGATTAAGACGACATTGAGATGGGAGCAGAGAAGTAAATCTGACAGAGTAGAGAGGGGGAATATTCTAGGTAAAGGCACCAGAAGAAAGCACAAAATATTTGGCAAAAAAAAAAGGAATAGTATGTATTTCTTTTATTCTGAAAGACCAACAACCACTCAAAAGAAATGAGCGATTAAAGGGCCATGACATCACAACAAACCAAGCACGACGGTGCATACCTTTAATTCTAGCTATCGGGAGAAAGAGGCAGGCGCATCTGATTCCAAAGCCACCCTGGTCTACAGAGTGAGTTTCAGTCCAGTTAACACTACACAGCAAGACCCTATCAAGCAACAAAAAGCCTTTTGAAAATTTATTTTTATGTATGAGTGTTTTTGCCTGGATGTATGTAAGTGCACCACATATATGCCCAGAGACCAGGTGTCAGATCCCCTGGAACTGGAGTTACAGATGGTTGTTAGCTGCCATGTGGGTCCTCTGGAAGAGAAGCCAGTGCTCTTAACCACTGAGCCATCTCTCCAGCCCCACAAAAAAAAAAAAAAAAAAAAAAAAGCCTCTAAATAATTTTACCAAGTGAAGGAAATCAGTTTGAGAATGTTCTGTGCTGATTCCAAATATGATATTCTGCAAGAGGCAAAATTGTAGAGGTGGTAAATGCTAGTGGTTGCTAGAGTCTGGGGTGTGATGAGCAGTAGTGCAGAGGCTTTTTAGGAAGTGAAAACTACTCTATATGTTACTACAGTAGCAGATACATGCTACGCATCTTTGTCCAAACACAAAATGCAACTGTGGAGAATAATTTGTTCATCAGAATGTAATACTGTGGTGCTCTGTGTTGATAGTGGGGGAGGCTGTACATACAGGGGGGTGGGGATATGGGAAGTTGGTGTACTTTTCAGTAGATTTAAAAGCTGGGGGGGGGGAGGCTGGAGAGGTGGCTCAAGGGACTAAGAGCACTTGCTGTTCTTCCAGAGGACCAGGGTTCATCTCCCAGCACCCACATGGTGGCTCGGTCTTGGGCTATCCTCTGGGCTTCGCAGGCACCTCCCCTCCCCCCAGTAAACATACTGGACATGAAAACACTTGTACAAACAAAAAAGTTATTCAAAAAAAGCCGGGTGTGGTGTCACACACCTTTAATCCCAGCTCTTGGAGGGCAGAGAGGCAGGGGATCTGAGTTTGAGGCTAGCCTGGTCTACGTGGAGAGTTCTAGGCCAGCTGGGGCTACAGGGAGACCCTGCCTCAAAATAAATAAAACATCAGCAGCTCCACAAAGGAAAAAATTACTCAGCAAAGACAGGGGTGCTACTATTTGTCAAACTTTGTTGTAGGCTTTGTAAGTTTAAAATTAAGCCCTATCCTAATGGTTCTAGAATGCTGAGGGAGAAAACAGTGTACAGTATGTTACTGAATGGAGCAAGAGGGGAGTTAGGGAATAGTTTAGGGGTAGTGGGCATTAAATAGAGTCACAGAAACCACATGATGGCAACATTTGAGCAAAGGCCCGTGGTGAGGGTGTGAGCCATGAGTAGCTCTGGGAGAGCTAAGCAGAGTGGCCAGTGCAAAGGGCCTGAATGGGAGCCCACTTAAAGTGACTCAGGAACATCAGGGAGGTAAGTGTTGCCAGGGGGAGGTGGCAACGGACTTGGGGCAGAAGTCAGGGGAGGGCTTCAGGTCATGTAGAACTCAGATGCACTGCTGCTGGAAAGGGTGTAGCTATGGGGGAGCTGCTGAAGTAATACCCTTGAATAGTGATAGGTGGGGCTGGCTTTTGATGGGAACCAACAGTTCACCACAGGAGAGAAGGAAGACCTTATCTGGATCCAATTCAAGAAAGCTTAAGATATGGGTGCTTGTTCCAGCTCTCTCTGTAGCCCCAGCTGGCCTGGAACTAAGTAGACCAGGCTGGCCTTGAACTCACAGAGATAGCCTGCCTCTGCCTCCTGAGTGCTGGGATTAAAGGTGTGCGCCACCACGCCCAGCTTCCAGCTCTTAATTCTTATAGAGGGATGCTAATAGAGGTTATCTGAGGAGAACCTGGAGTTTCAAACAGGCCACAGTACCTTCCATTTGCTGAGCACGTGTGGAGCACTTCCGTTCTAATATGCTTTCTATTGCTGTGATAAAAACACTGGCCAAAACCAACTTAGGGAGGAAATGGTTTATTTTATCTTACATCTCTCAGGTCACAACAGTGAACTACTCTTACCAGGTTATTTCATGTAAAGAAATGGAAAGGAGGGGTTGGAGGCATGGCTCAGCAGTTAAAAGTACTTGCTGCTCTCATAGAGGACAGGGGTTTGTGTCCTAGCACCCATGCCAGGTGGCTCACAACCACCTGTAACTCCATCTCAGAGATATACAATGCTCTCTTCTGGCTTCCATAGGCACCCACATACATGGGCCCATACATACATCAACACATAAATAAATCTAAAAAAAAAAAAAAAAAAAAAAAAAAATCCCTGAAATGGAAGGGAAGGAAAGGAGCCTGACTTACCAACTTGCTTAGCAACTCTGAGTCATGCTGTTTCCACCCAGTATTTATGAAATCAAGACACACTCAAGCTTTGTCTGCTTTATTTCACTACATTAAGCAATAAGGCAAAACAGTAACCTGTTATTCATAAATCAAGCCTGCCTCTCCTTCCCAAAAGGACCAAAGAGGTTTCTTCTTACAAAGACACATGGCATTTAGCTCAGTATGCCTAGACTATATACCTGAAACAAAATGTTGGTGTGCATATCAGTTCACAAACCCAAATTAACTTAGCCTGAAGTTCTCAAAATTGTAGTTTCAAGTTCTAAGGACATCTAACTCTCCTGTCGTGGTGCACACTACTATTAAAAACTTTGTGCCTGATCTAATACAAAAAGGGCAACAGATACAATTCCTCATTCACCAGCACAGGTGTTGAACCTTTTCTACCAACATACACAATACCTGCTTGCACTAAAACCTATCTTGAGGAAACATTAAACTAGTGGCTCTGTTATTCTGTAATAACAGAAAAAAAAAAATTAATGATCAAAGGTGTCTCTGTGTTTCTGTATCACCTAGGAGCGATGAGATCCATTATTTCAACATTATTATTTTTGGGAGATTACTAGTATCAGTTACATGCCATAAAGGCATACAGACATGGAACTGTACTTGTCTACACAGTTCATATGTGTAGACATATGAAATTGTTCTGTACCTTGATGCCCCTTTCCTCCACTGACAAATGGTGAGCAGTAGTTTCACTTGATACTTTGTGGGGTTGCATAAAATTAAACTTTCTGTAGTTTGCAACTTGTAATTATCCATTTCCCTGCCCCAACTTCTAAGAGGCTAAACATTAGTTACTATTACCATAATGTTAGAAATCAGTAGTTTATTCTTATACTGTGGCATACAGATTACTGTGTGAATATTGCTTCATAAAATTGGCCCATAAAATGAATGGACCTTAAAATGTAACTTAGTGTCTTTCAGTAGCTTCCTAAATAGTTTCATCTTTAAAGGGGAACTGACAAAGACCACTTCCTATCTAGTCTAGATTATATCCATTTCTTTTTAAACTAGGGACTAAATGTTAAAAAACAATGCCATGTTTGCAAAAAGAATTTCCTTCCAAAGCCTGTTGGCCACTTTCTAGGAGTACTTTAAGGAAAAGTGGTACAGCTAATGGTCTGCTTTGTCCTGTTTTAGAAAACCTTACAGAAATTAAGGTTAGCAACTCAGCTCTAGAATCGAAGCAAAAATAGCATGTCTGCTGTCAAGCCAGCTTTCTGGGCTAGTTGCTGAGCCACTATGGTTTACAGTCAAAATGGCCTCCTTTGACTCATCATGTGACAAGTCATATTCCCCAGTAAGGGAAAAGTTCTTTTCTTTAACATCCAGTTTGGATTCAAGAGATTATACTAGTTAATTTCTCCTTCAAATCAGTGAAAAGAACATTAGTTCAGATCATACTAAAAATCTAAACTTTAAAATGTTTTCTGCACTACAGAAGTGAGCCTGTCTTTGGTCTCTTTCTAAAATCCCCAAGACGAGAACAAGTCCTTGTATTAAAGAACAGAGCAGAGCAGGGCAGGGCAGGAAGTGAACTATACAGCTGTCTCCCGGTAGCAACAGTAGACCCTAGATACTGTGGCAATACGGAATTTCGTGATATATAATTGCTGGCTTCTCAAATTCTTAAAAGTCCCATATACTAATGAGAAAAATTTTAAAGCAACTAATAAATATTCCTTTAGGAGAATGCCTTAAGAAAATCTCATGTTTTATCTGTCAACACAAAACTAAAGACTCTGTGACAATCCTACTTTTCTGTCAAATGGAAATCAATGGCAAATGAGAGCCATGGGACATGAAAGGATTCTGCTTTAGACCGGCATGTTACCCTTAATGGGATGCAGGAAGCAGTCAGAACCTTGAGACCAATGCTGGAGCACTAACAGCAAGGTGTACTTCTGGATTACCTTTTATTTTTTGGTCTGTCAGATTGTGATCCTTTGAGAAATCCAATTGGGAGATACATGGCCGTGTTTCTCAGATGGTAACTCTAATGCCACTCCCAGGAACAGCCATCCCCTTTACTAGGATGGAGCTATGTTGTTAATCAACATGCAGGGCTCAGTGAAGGAGACACAGACTTAACTGGTGTCAACAGAGAGCCAGGGAAGCAGCAGTTACCCCATGCTCTTAATCCTGGCGTATGCTCCACGCCTAGGAACAGGATTCAGTAGTGGTGGGTACATCTTTATAAACACAGCCTAATGAAGCAGCAGCTTCCACATTGTAACAGAGTTGTGTAACTATGTTACCACAAGTGGGATCTGTCCACCAGGGGAACTTTTTTAAGGAACAAGTGAGCCGAAGTTGAGTTCCACATGCTGGGTGAGCCAGATGACTTCTGCGCTCTGATCATTTTCTTCAATAGGGCGAATGGGGGTGGCCAGGTTTTTAAAATCATGTTTCATCTTGAAGCTCACGGTCACTTCACCCTCCTCACGTTGTGGGGTGACCTTGATGAAAATGCCTACTTTGTTGGCTTTTCTGAAGGCTATAATGCTATGGAAAGATAAGCACAACATTAGGCAGATCATAAGTCAATGAAATCACCAAGTCTCACAGTCATTTTATGGCACAATGGGAAATCTCTGCTATGACCACACCATCTTGCTTACCAACAGTGAAGTTCTCTAGAAAATACTAATCTATTTATATTTTTTTCTTTAGAGCTAGGACTGGCTTCAGACTTACAGTCCTTCTACCTTCACCTTCCAAATATGCCTTCATGCCTGGCCTGCTATTTGTCTTATCCTTTCCTCTCCCTCCCTCCCTCCTTTCCTTTCTCTCTCTCATAGTCATAGAAAATTCAAGTTTTTTCCACTTCAATTTTCTATGACCATATTTTAATTTTCTCTACAGCAAAGAGATAAACTTCTGGTTCTTAGCCTATGACATATTTTTCTATGAGCTTATATTCTTACTTTTTTAAGCAACACAAATGAGACATACCGTGTATGGTCCCATTTAATGGTTGCATTAAGTTGTTACAAATATACATGTCTTGGCCGGGCGTGGTAATGCACGCCTTTAGTCCCAGCACTCAGGAGGCAGAGGCAGGCGGATCTCAGAGATCTGCCTCCTGAGTGCTAGGATTAAAGGCATGCATCACCTTGCCTGGATTCTTTTAAATATTTATTATTGGGGGGTGGTGTGTGTGGATGAGTGGGTGTGTTCATCATAGCACATGTGGAGGTGGGTGAACAATTTCAAGATCCAGTCCTCCTTTTGCTGTGGAATCTGAGGATCAAACTCAGGTTGTCAGGCATAGGTGAAGCCTCCCACCCTCATACCTCCACTGCCAGGATGGACTAAAATCCCTCTGAAAACTGGAATCAAAATAAATGTTTTCTCCTTAAGTTGTTCCTGTCAGGTATCTGGTCACAGTGATGCAAAAGGAACTAACACAGGCATCCTGGATCAGCCATCTGTGTGTGGTCTGAGGATCACAAAAGGTCACTTACTCAGGATCATCCTGAAAGTCCTGGGGTTCTGCCAACTCATCATACTCTGCTGCTGCATCCTTGCCAGCTAAAATGAGCTCTTTGGGAGGCACCACCACCTGGAAAGCCAAAGACAGGGCTGCTTCAGAAAGGGTTAGCTGTGACAGGACATTTGCTCAACAGAACATGGTCAGTGTTGCGTTGATCTAGACAGGTGAGTAGCAGGTTTCAAGACACATACTACATACACAGTTTTTAAAGCACTGGGAACTCAAACATTTCTTTTATGTGTGTGTGTGTGTGTATGATTTCATTTATTTTATGAGTATTTTGACTACATGTGTGTGTGTGTGTGATTTCATTTATTTTATTTTATGAGTATTTTGACGCATGTATGTAAATGCATGCCTCGTGCCTGAGGTGGCCAGAAGAGGGCACTGAATCTTCTGAAATTGCAGTTAAAGATGGATGTTAGCTGCTATGTGAGTGCTAGAAACTGAACCCAGGTCCTTTTCAAGAACAACCAGTTCTCTTAACAGCTGAGTCATCTCTCCAGCCCTGAACCCAGGCATTTTTAATCCAAATATAAGAATGAAGAAACTTACAGGAATGACCAAGTCAAGTGAGCACTTACTTCACAGGGCTGTGTGATGTTGAATACTACCAACCTGACAGGACCTAGACTCACCTAACAGATTCCTCTGTATGTCTATAAGGGAATTTCTCAATTGGGTTAATTAAAGTGGGAAGACCTACCCTAATTAAGGTGGCACTATTCCATGTGGAAAGGCCCTGAACTGAATAAAAAGGAGGCAGTGAGTTGAGTAGCACTAGTGTTCGTCTCTCTGCTACCTGGCTACAGATGCAATGTGCTGTCTCAAATGCCTGGCATATGACTTCCCCACCAAGATGAACTTTATCTTTGAATGGTGAGCCAAAATAAACTCACTTAAGATTTTTCCTCAAGGTGATTTTTCAAGATTTTTTTTTTGTCAGTTATTTTGCTGTAGCAACAAGAACAATAATTAATACAGGTTACAAAGAGGAATTTAGCAAGGAGAGTGCACAGTGCTGCAATTGAGTCTTTCTTTTGTTTTATATTTTCATGTTATTTCAGAAGGGAGTGCATAGGTGTTTGCTGTAGTATTTTAAAAATAATTCCTAATGGGACTGGAGAGATAGCTCAGTTGTTAAGACCCCTGGCTGCTCTTGCAGAGGACCCGGGTTCAATTCCCAGCACCCACATAGTGGCTGATAACCATCCTTAACTCCAGTTCCAGGGGACCCGACCACCTCTTATGGCCTCTACAGGCACTGCACACAAGTGGTGCACTTACATACATGCAGACAAAACACACATACACATAAAATTAAATAATTAAAATAAATAATTCCTAACATACTTGAAACTCACCATTTTCTTTGGAGATGTCATTTTAGTTACAGTATGCAGAAGAGAACACATAAATTAGCCAAACACAGATTAGCCAAACACAATTTCTCCTTGTAAAAGGTTTTATTTTTCTATTTATTATCAGTAGCTCACACCCCTTAAAAATCTAGAGTTCGTTTTATTGAGGAATTCTTGGAACTGAACAGTTGCTTCATTATTTCCTTAAATTGCCAGTAAGTGATCTTCAAGCAGGAAAACTCAAAATAAAACAGCATACAAAGCTTAAAAAAACCCCTCATGTTCTTACATAAATCCACTTTGGTTTTCTTTCCATCTGTGACTTCCTCTGTTGTGATAGAAAGTCAGCCATTTTCTTAAGAGACACAATAGTTCCTCCTACACAGTATTTCCTGACACTGGACAGTGTACATTTATGCTTATGGAACATAGTTTAGTATTCTTATGTTGCAACTAGACCTTTGTCATCTCAGAGACCAAGAGAAACCTCAGCCATAGTTCTAACTGTAGATACAAATGGAACAGGGGTAGTATAGAGAGTAAGATGACATATAAGGTGGTATACACACTCAGTACTTATTTATAATGTCTTTACCAGTATAACTGGTATAAGGGAGTGTTCTCTTTCTTTGGAGGTAACTCTAGTGAGTGAAAACATTAAAAACCAGAAGAAAAAAAGAAAGAGGGGATAAGGAAATTCTTAGGGTATTATTTAAACATTAGCTGAAGATACAGGCATTCCTTCTATAGATTCTTATATCATACTGAATTAGAAATCAGTAGTATATAAGCTATAGAGGAAAGTTTTTGTCTTATAAGGCCACATTTCATTCATTCAGTCAAAATCATCTTAATATTCAGTTACTACTATTTATACTCTATGTAAGTAGTGGAAATCTAGAAGAGACACAGCAGCTTTTAAAAGACTACACTTCACATGAATCTTGAAAGAATGTTAAACTGAACAACTGAAAAGGTATGTATACTCTAGGAGGCCTTCTAGGTAAAAATGAGCAGTACAGGCCAGGTGTGGTGGTGTACACCAGTAGTTCTAGCACTTGGGAGACAGATAGGTGGATCTCTGTGCGATTGAGGCCAGCCTCAATCAAGCCAGCTAGGGCTACATAGGAAGACTCTGTCTCAAAAAACAAAGCACCCCCCCCCCAAAAAAAACCCCAACAAAACCCCCCAACCCTATCCCTCTTAAAAAAAAAAAAAAAAACAAGAACATGCAAATGCCCAGAATGAAAGTTTATACCCACTGGATGTGTTTGGATTGCAACTATTATTGCAGCATCTAGAAAATGCTAAATTTGAGGATCTGGAGGAAGGTCATGCAGAACAGACAGAAGTCATCATCAAGAGCTCTGACGCTGTGCCAAACAATGTGGACTTCATCTTAAAGTCAGACAAATGCCACATCATCAGCATGCAGTGCAGCTAACTGCAGAAAGGCCACTCTGGTGGCAACACAGATACTGGGTTGAAATGGAGGTGAAGCACACTAAAGACAGTAAGGAAAGGCAGGAAATGTCAGCGATCGAGTAAGAAATGACAAGAGTTGACAGGACAGTGGCAATGTGTTTGGGGATAAAATCAAATTGGGATATGAATCAGGAAACTCTGATAACAGTGTAGAGTCTTTCAAGCCAAGTCTAATGAAGCACTGCAGGCAACATCAGGCTCTGTCTGAGAAGCAAATGCCCTCACCTTAGCAGTGCTGTTGATGTTATCAGGGTCACCTTCCTCACACTCAAACAGAGTCACATGGGTGAGGTTCTCCACTGGATTTGTAAGAGTCAGGAGGACCTGGCTCTCCTGCAGAAGAAGAAAGCATCTAAGACACACACCATACTGCCAGTAAGGTCTACATTCTTAGCTGCTATACACAGTGTTTCACAAAACCATTCTCACTGCTCTAGAGCAGCAACACCTACCCTCCACTTCTATATCAGTGCGCTCACTCTAAGGTCCTACTGACCCTGTCCTAGTACCTGTACGTATTATCTGGAGTTGCTGTTTTACTGCAGAAGCTGGAGAGATCCCAAAGAAAGGGCCAGTTATTAGACCAGAAATTGTGAGAAATGTACATTATCTAATGTTTTAAAGTCTGTAGTTCTTATTCCACTAAGGTTGCTATTTAGGGTATGAAAAGAAGAAAGCCCTCATAAATAAAATATGAGCCATTGGCTAGCCAGATGTATTACTAAGAGGATGGGGGGACAACACATTAAGACTATAAAAATCTTCTAAGATTTCCAGAACCATAAAAATTGCCCCTTTGTTACTTTCGAGACTGGTGAAATATAGGGATGATATGTTTTCACAAGCAGCATCATCGTGTATGTGTATGCATGTGTGTGTACATGTAAGAGGCTCAGATACCTGGTACTGATGCATGAATACACGAGTTGTGGAGAATCTCCTCTCCTGATTGGCAAAGCGAGAAGGTTGCCTGTGGTATCTAGTACCATCACCTTTCTTTTCCCCATCTATTATTCTGTCTTTACAGAATGTGCACCCTGTTCCTCACACTTCTACTTCAAAGGTGCTGTTGACAAGAATCCCCAAACAAACATCATTATCTTTTATCTTTTCAAGCTTTCTTTTTTCTTTACCTTCTTTACCATGTCCCATATCATAAGGAGAGCCACCCATATAGACACATGCATAGGTCACCAACTAATCAATTCTTGTGTCAATAAGTAAGGCACTAACCTTCATGTAGCGAAGGTTGGGGATCGACATGATTCTCACTTCTGGAATATAATTGCTATTGATAAATAAAAATATGCATTAATGTTCACTGGGTCTCTTGAAATCATTACTTACCTAAAAAGAAAACAAGCTAGTGACACAAATAATGCTAACTACTGGGTAAGAGAAAATGAATTTTAAAGAATTGTATCACACAGTAAGAGACAAGATCTGAAACCAAACTAGCAATGAGATCTTTCTGAAATTTTAGGAGTATAGTGTCTTATGTATATACAGCGGATTTAAAGCTTATGTTTATGTATAGATTGGCATACATTTTTCTTATAAATTTATCATATACATTTTGGAAGACTTTAATTTACTTTTATAATCCTACAAGGCAGTTGGTTATAAGATCCAATCTTAGTAAATAATATATTATATGACTGTGAAACACTAATACATTCTTACAAAACACAGTACTCTGTGCCAGGCAGTATTCTAAGCATTACACACAGTCTTCACTGCAGCTGCATGAGACAGGTACTACTACTACCATCCCATTATAAAAATGAAAACACTGGGCCTGGTTAGTAGCAGTGCCACCGTTCAAACCCAGTCTATGCATCCTTGCTCTTGACCATTCTGCTATTTTGACTAAATCACACAAGAGAATATTATTCTTATTTGCTTGGTCTGGACTCAAAACTGCCCAGGTTCAAATGCCAGTTCATAGTTACAGACCAAGATACTGCTTTGTAAAACTAGGACAAGGGGGCTGGAGAGAGGGCTCAGTGGTTAAGAACACTGACTGACTGTTCTTGCAGAAGACCCAGGTTCGAATCCCAGCACCCATATGGCAGCTAACAACTGTCCGTAACTCCAGTTCCAGGGGATCCAACAGCCTCTTCTGTCTTCCGAGGACACTGCACAACATGGGTGCACTCACCTAAATACATGCATACACATAAAAGAAAAATAATAAAATATTTTTAAAAACTAGGACAAGGAGTTACCTCTTTGTGACTTGGATTATTATTTGTATATATGAAGAAAATAATGCTATTTATCTATTGAGGTTACTGTGAAGAATACCTTAATGTACGAAAGGTGGCCTGAAAAGTGCTTGCAAGGAGGCATGCATAGGCATTATTGTGCAAATGTTAATGTAACACAAAGTCTACTTTCAAAACACTAAAAGGGGGAAAAATAATCTAAGAAGCAACTACAAGGTATTTTAACTTTAAACTAGTTATTTTTCATGGTGAACAATATGATTATTTGAGCAACTTAACTGAAATTCAGTGTCCCCTCCTGACCCCCAATTCCAGGTCTGGATTAGGCAAGTTCGAGGTTCAGCCAGGGCAACTGTATTAAGACTGCCAGGTGATTCTATCACGGTGTCAGAAAAAGCGTTTTTTTGTCAGAGCAAGCTTAAGAAAATGATGCTAAGCATATAGGGTTTCTGTAATGAGCACATTTCCCCCCGCTTTCTAGTACTGGGTATTGAAACTAGGGCCTCACACACACTAGGCAAGTGCTCTACCATTGAGCTATATCCCTAGTTCTTTAATGAACATAATTCTTTTTTTTTTTTTTTGGTCTTTTTGAGACAGGGTCTCTTTGTAGCCCCAGCTGTCCTGGAACTCACTATGTAGACCAAGCTAGCCTTGAACTCACAGAGATCTGCCTGCCTCTGCCTCTCAAGTGCTGGGATTAAAGGAGTGCGCCACTACGCCCGGCATGAATGTAATTCTTTTAAAAAATGTATTTTATTTATTATTTTTATGTGTATGAGTGTACTACCTGCTTGTGTGTAAATGCCCCCATGTTCTGCAATGCCCTCAGAGGTCAGAAGAGGGCTTTGGATTCCCCTGGAACTGGAGTTACAGATGGTTGTTAGCTGTCATGTGGGTCCTGGGAACTGAACCCAGGTCCTCTGCAAGAGTAGCCAGTGCTCTTAATCGCTGAGACATCTCTCCAGCCCTGAATATAATTCTTCTTAATGGTTTACCCTGTAATTCACATGTGCCATTTTTCATCCCTAACAGTCACCTATTACATAATAGTAGTTAGGAGACTGAACATATTTTTATTATTTATTTTTAGGTGTATGAGTGTTTTCTTTGCTTGTATCTAAGTGTGCCCGTGTTGTACAGTGCCTGCAGAGGCCAGAAGAGGGTGTGAGAGCCCCTAGAACTGGAATTACAGATGGTTGTTAGCCACCATGTGGGTGCTGGGAATGGGACCCAGGTCTTCTGCAAGAACAGCCTGTGCTCTTCACTGCTGAACCATCTCTCCAGGGCCAGGAAAGTAAACATATTTTATGCTAATTTAGTTACATGATGATAACAAACAAGCGTATCACTTTATATGATTCTCTTCAGTAACTTTGAGGAGGAAGAACATTATTCCAATTTCAAAGATGATGAAAATAAACAGACAAATACAGTAAGCGACAGTCCCCATATCTGGCCCTCCTAAATTCTTCTAACTTACCAGACCAACACTTTCCCAATGACTTCTTCTAAACTGTTGCATAATATTTGATATTGATAGAGGTATTTATCAATTTAATAAAAAATTTCCTTGTTAACAGTTAGCCAGTTAACTGAAATTGCTTCTAGCTTTTTCCATGAAAATGCTATAATATGCATCTTTACAAATGCATCTTTTATTTATTGAAGCTCTTGTTTCTGGAGAGTAGATTCTTCAACTAGTATTACTGGGTAAAGGTCTATGTAGCACAGAATGGTTGTATATATACCTATAATGCCAGCACTCAGGAGTTCAAGATCATCCTCTGCTACATAGTCAATTTGAGGCCAGCCTGGGCTAAGTGAGACCCAAAAAACTCAAACCATGCGGCGTGGTTGTGCATGCCTTTAATCCCAGCACTCAGGAGGCAGAGGCAAGCCTCTGGGAGATTGAAACCAGTCTACTACATAGTGAGTTCCAGGCCAGCTGGGACTACAAGGAGACCCTGTCTCAAAAATAACAACAATAACAAAAAAACAAAATATAACAGCAACAAAAACCCAAACCAAACCAAAATACCTAGGATATTTGTCCTGATATTCCCAGACCATTCTTCAAAAAGATTCTAGCAGTTCACGCCTGCTTAGCTGACAGTCTCTTCAGCACTGAATGCTACTTATACTTAGTTTCTTTTAACTTTTCCTATCAAATCTTAGCATCTTTCCACATTATCTTTTGGCCATTTGGAATTTCTCATATAAGCTCCCTATTCAAATCCTTTGTCCCACTGCCTATTCTCACTGCCTCTCTCAATTTTTATTTTTCCAATTGGTGGGAATTCTATAAATGAGGGCCATTCAGTCTTTGTCATAAGTGCCAAGCAGCGCATCCTGTTCCACTGTGTCAGGACAACGAATTTCATCCGTCACAACTCATGTTTCGTTTTGCCAAAGGTGTTTTAAAATTTTCTTTAATGAGTTCTGGCCTTGCTTACAAAGGGCTCTCTTACCTCAAAGTTAGATATTAATACCCATAACTTTCAAAATATTTTTCTTATTTGATAGGTGATTTTTCTGTAGGGGAGGATGGGATTGAGACAAGATCTCTGTAGCCTAGGCTGATCTCAAACAAGCTATGTAGCCTGATTCTCCTGCTTTCACTTCTCAAGTGCTGAGATTACAGGTGTGCTCCATTATGTCTGCTTTGAAGTTTAAAATTTTTTAAATTTATTAATTATATAATATTATTGTGTGAGTGGTGTGTAAAGGGTGCATGTCTGTTTTGGCACACATGTAGAGGTCAGAAGACACCTTTGTGGAGTCAGTTTTTTCCTTCCACCTTTACATGAGTTATAGATTTACCTTAGATTTCATGGTATCCAACTAAATTCAAAACCAAAATACAAAAAGGCAAAACAAGATCATTCACATAAAAAAAAATCCAAACCCCACAACTAATAGATTAAAACACCAAAACACTTACACAGCAACCAACTGGATTTTAAATTTGATAGATGTTGGATTAAATTCTGGCTTGCTCAAGTTGTGTTCACATTTCTGAAAAGAAATTAATGTGTCAGGAAAACAAGGTAATCCAGAACTACCAAATGCAGAAGTTTATGTTTTATTCTGTCCAAAGTCTACAAATGTTAAAACAGGATTTATGATAACCAAACTTTATAGAACAATACATTTGGAGTTTTGGACATAAGCAGCTACACTGTCATAAGTATTATTATACCTATTTGGCACCTTAAAGACATTAAAATAGAGTAGGTATGGTGGCACATGCCTTTAAACCCATTACTTGGGAGGCAGAGGCAAGGAGATCTCTGTGAATTGAGGCCAGCCAGGTATATATAGTGAGTTGCAGGCCAATTGGGGCTACAGGAAGACCCTGTCTCAAAAAAAAAAAAACCCCTAAATAGATAAATAATATAGTAGGGCTGGAGACATGGTTCAGTGGTTAAGAGCACTGCCTACTCTTTTAGAAGCACTCATACACATAAAATAAAAATAAACAATTAGAAAATAATAAAGCTAGGCTTAGTGGCGCATGCCTTTAACCCCCACACTCAGGAGGCAGAGGCAGGCAGATCTCTGTGCGTTCAAGGCAAGCGTGATCTACATAGTGAGTTCCAGGCCAGCTGGGGCTATAGGGAGACTTTGTCTCAAAAAGACAAAAAAACAAAAACAACATCAGAACAAAAAAATACTTGATGTTTACTAATTATGGCATTGGAAATCACTAGGGAAAGAACAGACTGTTAAGTTTTACTAGGAGGATTAGGGATACAGCTCAGTGGACTGATAGGTTGCTTGTCTAGTAGCATGCATAAAGCCATGGGTTCCATCCACAGTACCACATAAAACTGGGTGTGGTGGTCCATTCCTGTAATCCCAGAACTCAGGAAGTGGAGGCAGAAGGAAAAGTTCAAGGTCATCCTCAGCTATATGGAACACTGTCTCAAAAAACATTTGGGGGAGGGGGAGCAGGTAAATTATACAGGAAAATTGGAAACTTAAAAACAGGAGGAGCAAATCTAGAAAAAAAAAAAAAAAGAGAATGCCTTCATGATGGTAGAGTAGGGAATTATTCCATAAGTAAAATACATAAACACAAATATAAAGTAAAAAGTTGCATCTTTTACCTTAGTAATAGGAACACTTCTGTCCCCATCCACCCAAAAATCTATAAATAAATAGTAGGCTGGGAAGAGTAATTTCTAAGGTATAGGATTATCAAAGGATTAGTGTCTCGAATACCAAACTTTAGCAACTCAGTAAGGGAAAAACAACACAATATAAAGCAGGGCATGGTAGGACGTGCCTATAATCCCAGTACTCAGGAGACAGACACAGGAGGAGGCAAGTTCCAAGACCCTGACTCAACAACAACAAAAACCACAAAAAAAACCCAACAAAATCAAACAAAATAACCTAATATAAAAATAACCAGAAGATATGGCAGAGCAAGTTCCAATAGTTAAGTGAAAGATACGTAAACTTACACAGTAATCACAGAAATATACATTAAAACTGCTTCAGGATGCCAGCTGATAGTCATCAAACTGGCAAAAATTAGTAGTTTAGTAGAATCTATCAAAGTAGCAAACGTACCTGTTGATGCACTCTTAGGAACTTTCTTACTGATGCATTTATACACTGGAACATCATTCAAGTCCAAGAATACTGACTGCTGCTTTACTTGTAGTCACAAAATAGTGGGACTACAGGGGCTGGAGAGATGGCTCAGCAGTTAAGTGTTGGCTGCTCTCACAGAGGACCTGGTTCAATTCCCAGTACCCACATGGCAGCTAACAACTGTCCATAACTCCAGTTCTATGGGATCTATCTCCCTCTTCTGTCCTCCATGGGCACTGCACAACATGGGTGCACTTATACACATGCAGGCAATATACATAAAATAAAAATAATAAAATATTTTAAAAAATAGTGGGACTATTCTATATGTCTATTATTGTCTGGTTAAAGAAGTTACAGAAATCATTATGGTAGGAAATTAAATAAGAGGTTCTTCTGTGTGTTCCAGAATGGAATTACAAGATAATTACATGAAAAAAGCAAAGGATAAGAGAATGTATAAATTGCTCCCTTTTGTGTTGTGAGAAAGATGATGTATGCCTATCCATTCACATGTGTAATGTGTCCTATGCACAGGTTGGCTCTGGGGAGAGGAATGTGGGACACACTGGTAATACAATTTGTTCACTGGACATTGCTTTGTACTGCTAAAAAAAATTGTTAACCTGAGGATTAACCTGGAGTTAATCCTTGGATTGCAATCCTAGCTTATGTTCTTACTTCTCTGTGAAGTTATAAAGGTAATTTATCCTTCTTACATTCCACTTTCATCATCTGTAAAATGGACACATCAATAGCTGCATCTCTTCATTCCCTTCATCTATCTCATGAAGTCAATGTGATGTTTAAGTCAGTGTGGACACTGTTCAGGAACAGTAAATACTTGATGTGTGTTAGTTTTTTTCTTTTAGTTTTGTTTTTTGAGACATGGTCTCATGACATAGTTAGCCTTGGCTAGCCTAGTATTTAGTGTGTTATCTTTTCTGGGACAAGCTCTTATTACACATTTATAGCCCATGCTTGATTAGAACTTGAAATCCTTCCTCCTTGGTTCCTGGGTGCTGTGATTACAGGGCATGTGGCAACATGTCTTACTTTTGTTATTATTTAAAGTAAATAGTGAAATATCTGGCTTTTAATGTTGCTTACTACATACTTTCTGTAAGAACCACCAGTTCTATGTACCTTTGTCTATTTTTATTTTTTGAGACAGGGTCTCACTATGTAGCTCTGGATGACCTGGAACCAGAGCTGGCCTCAAACTCACAGAGATCTGCCTGCTTCTGCCTCCCAAGTGCTGGGATTAAAGGTGTGTGCCACCATGTCTTCTCATGTTTGCTTTTCTCTTATACATATGGCAACTCTATAGAAAAAGAGTATTTACCCGGCAGCGCAGAGACCGTTTGATCAAAAGGTGCTTGTGACGAGGATAGAGCTGTGAAGCACAGACCGGCTGGAAGTCAGGCTGTAAGAGGCGCTGCTGAAGGGTGGTCACTAGCAAGAAAGATAGCAATCAGGCTTAGCTTACAATGATTTTCAAAATCAGATTTCTATGTGGGCATATAGATATATGAAACAGTATGCCATTATGAATAGTTAAAAATACTGTAATTTAGAAATTTGACAGACATTTGAAAGTTCTTCAAATAATCACATCTATTTCATTTTCAACATAGCATTTTACTATTAACTATTCCATCAGAAATCTCAAATCACGAGGCATGTCAGTGACAAAAGTGCAAGAACACAGAACCGAAACAATAGAATGTATAAAATTACCCTCTGTTAAATTCACTGGTCTTGTGTAATAGTCTTCAGGTAGAGGTTCTACTTCATCGACAGCCTGAGCTGGCTCGATCTTTATCTCTTTCTGGTCCTCTCCTTCCTTAAGGCTAAAAAAATAAGAAATAGTAACTTCCCAAGGGTCCACTGAATTATCCTCAAACAACATCAGTAACTGAAGTATTCCCCCAAGGTAGACTATTTTATAGTTTAGGTCTTTTCTAAATGTAAGAATGTTTTTTCTCACTGGCAGACTTTTCTTTAAAATAAAAAAAAAAGTCCCATTCCTTAAACATAAATTTTGCCGTCTGCTTTACTCAAAGTTACGTACTATCCAAACTTACGAAAGTCCAGCAAGGGAACTAATGGATGCACCAGCTCGTGGTCGCTGAAGCCTGGTTCCAAGACCGTATTTGTCCTAAACAAAGTTCAGAAATCCCTATTAGAAGTCCATTTTATCCATCTTGTTTATTGAAAGCAAGAAATGGGGTTGGATAGCATGAGAAGCTTAAGGAAAGAAGCAAGAAACCAAACCAAACCAAAAAGCTATTTAAAACCTCCGATATTTGTAGCCCCACATCATTATTCTATTCCTAGAAGAAGCAGAGCACCAGCAAGGAGGCTACAACTACAGTACAAGTGCATATGTAAGCGTTTCCTACAAATCTAACAACAGCCAGGCAAGAACTATGTGGAGTGTCTAAGATACATTGTTTTTTCTGAACACCACTGACTGTCTGCTAACTTCTCCAGGGTTAGCAAGAATCATAAAAGAGAACTTACCACTACATGAATAGTGTGTTGCTGTAGCGCCCCCAAATAGCAGCAGGTTGCAACAGAGACAAAAAAATGCAGCATAAGATAGAAGCAAACAAATACAGCAGGCAGGTATATGGGAATGTTAGAAGGATGGAGCATTTATTTCAAAGTCCTCTCCTCATATGTAGTAGTGTATATGCTGATTATACCATAGGATTATTTGTGAAAACTCATTTCTTTGGTAAATGTAGGTGCTTTGCAAGTATTAATGCTTTATTAAATTCAAATGTATATAATTTTATATATACAATCCTTTTGATTATAGTGGTTTACTTAGTTCTCCAGTGGATGCAGTATGACAAGTTATTTAACTTTTCCAGAACTTACTTCCTCAGATGTAAAATAGGGACACACTATCAGCCTCTTAGGACTGTTTTGGGGATTAAATAACACATATGATGTATTTAGCACAGTGCGCAACATGTCATTATCATTCAATAAACACTGTTTATTAAATGTCAGCATGTTAGGCCTCATGCAAGCACAAAGAAAACAAACTGTTCTGTGAGAGCAAATGAAACTTAGGGGACAATAAGCAAAACTCACAATCACAATCCTAATCCTTGCTTCTGCCCAGTAGTCCATAAACTAGTGGAGAATGACACACACAAATAATTTCTACCAAAAATTCCACCTGTGTATATCAGTTATCTATTTAATCACACAAATGTACTGTGTAAGGCTAGCAATGGAGCCAGTACTTGCCTATATAGATATGTAAGGCTCTATGTTCAATCCCCAGTAACACAAAAGCAACAACAGAAAGCACTGCACTTTCAATCTTGAAAAAGAGGGGGATGATAAGGTGTCAAAAAGATAAATAGCTGGGCATGGTGGCGCATGCCTGTAGTCCCAGCGCTTGGGAGGCAAAGGCGGGTGGATCTCTGTGAGTTCAAGGCCAGCCTGGTCTACATAGTGAGTTCCAGGACAGTTGGGGCTACAGGAAGACCCTGCTTCAAAAAGACCAAAAAATTTTTTGTAAATATAAATTTAAAAAGTAAAATATTTTTTTAAAAGTAGTGAGACCCTAAAATCATTTAAGAGGTAGTAATTGACTCAGTTCAGTTATTTCCTGTTCAAAAGGATTATAGAAGGATTTAGTGTCTCTACTCTTGCAGACTTTCAGGCCTTAGATGAGGATCAGAAGGACACAGATGGACGGTGTTACACTGCCACAGGGTCATCTGAGAGTGGATCCACTGTAAACGAGGGAGACAAAATTAAACCAGCAGTTAAGTAGAAGATCAAAAGACTAGTAGTATCACTAAGATTATTTTGGGTATGATTCATGAATTCAACTATGAAAATCCAGAGATTTCAAAGCAATTTTCTAAAAAGAAAAAAAGGAATGGTAATGCCTGGCATGGTTTGAATCTGATTTTGTATGTTGTATAAAGCAGATGAGATGTATCAGTAACATACACTTCAAATTAATA